TGTATTCAACCTGAAACCTTCACAGCAATGTTTGTTTTGCATTTCATTGGTTCGAGTTTGGGATTTTTCAAATCTTGTGACAATACATCTTGTTTGCAAAGTACAAAAGGCATGGCCCTGAAATGAAAAAAAACACTTCATATTCCACAAATAAGAGAAAAACAAAACTTTAGTGTTTTATTTTTTCGCAAGAGTGAATTAAATGGTAAAAGATTGTGATATTATATGCATGGGTGTTGAGTTTATTTTTTTCCACATATATATAGAGTTCTAAGCATCTTTTACATGAGATCCAGATGGATAACCATTACCATATTTTGTTTGCAGACCCAGACCCAGTGACAGGAGACATGGAGTCAGCTATGGCCGTGGAGCTCAGCCCCTGGGTGGAGTATGAGTTCAGGGTGGTGGCCAGCAATGCTATTGGGACGGGTGATCCAAGTACACCTTCTAGAAAAGTTAGGACTAAAGAAGCAGGTAAGGTCTCCAACTAATGCTGTATGATAACAACATACCACCCATATTTTGAAGGATATTAAAATAATGTGTAAATATAAAGTCCATTTTTTTCTGATAAAGCAATTAGTCATGTAAAGTCCTCAACCATATAGCCTTTATCGCTTCCATAAATTCCTTCTGCTACTTGACTGGCTGCTCAAATGCTCTCTATAGAATAGAATGCTTACAGAAGTCAGTAGTCATTTTAGAGGGGATTTTATAATCTGTTTCATCTTTTCAGCATCATTAACAAACTAATTACAGTATTAACAAAAATCTAATTTCTTAATTTGGATTTTATGAGCAAAATATCAACAACAGGATTCCATATCACTGCATTTAAGCTTCTGGTAGAACTGATACCTGTTGGACTAGTTTTTTAGTTTACGTAAAGGCTTAAAATTAATGATTTGCTCACAAAATACTTATATATGAAGAGAATAGTTTTTAATATTTCAGTTCTTTTGCTGCATGATGGCTAACATAATGTTGACCTTCCAACACAGTTCCAGCCGTGGCACCATCGAACGTCAGTGGAGGGAACGGCCGAAGGCATGAATTGGTCATCTCGTGGGAGGTAGGTCCTCTGCCAAACTCCCTCTGTTGAACAAGTCAACATTTATCAGCATTAAAATGTTGCATTAATGTCACTCTTTCAGTTTAAAATCTGGTGAATTGGAAAAATATATATTCATCACTGGATTTAAAATAGTCTTATTAAACAACTCAAACATATTAGGATGATTTGTTAATAAAAAAAAGTTTGAGCTTTAAACTATGTCATACTTTCAGAATTCCATCAGCCACTTAATATTATTTTCTAAAGAATACATAAAGGTGATTATAAGACAATAAGCAAGATTACACAATTAATGTATTGGGGTTTCTTTAGCTTTTTAAGCGACCCTTTAAAAAAATGGATATCATTTAGAAT